ATGATGGCATGAAGATAGATATTTGAAACAGAAGATGTCAGATTGGATCTAATTTTTGAATAAACGTATAATTTCTGTTTCAACTTAGTGGTTAAGACTTGTACATGATCACGATAAGTCAAATGAGAATCCAAAGTAATTCCAAGATATTTGTAGGTAGTGACAATATCAAGGGGTTTGTTTAAAAAAGTGAGTTGATTTGTTATACTGAAATGTCTCCTGGGTGAGGAAAAATACATGCACACAGTTTTTTTTAACATTAATTGACAAAAGATCATCTTGAAGCCAACCATGAAATGTCTGAAGATCTGCTTGTAACTGACTATTGATAGATTCAATATTGAAATCAGACAAAAAAAGAACAGTATCATCAGCATACATTAAAATATTTGAATACTTCAATATTTTTGGAAGGTCATTTATGTATAATAGGATGCATGTAAACACGTCTCTGTTTGGGCAGTTTTGCAACCTCTGTCATCTTTTTGAAAAGAAAGTCTGTCTGAGAGTTTAAGCGAAATCCTTTATGTTTAAGAGAACATACATCTGTCTTTCCTCATGGCATTTCATTTTATTAAACAAGTTCGTAAGGCCGCCTTCCACCATTGGGCTCACGTGTGCCTGACAATGAGAGTGCACTGCAAWAAATGTCCACCTAACCCAGTTTTAAAATCTTATACCAAGCCAAAAAGTCTTTGTTGTAATACTATAAATGTAATATTTGTAATATTTGTTGTCTGTCATTGTAGCTGGGATCATTTTACTTATTAAAGCTCATAATCTTACCACTTCAAACATCACTAGCCCTGAAGCTGCTGGTAGACATCGCGGTTGGAATTATCAAAGGTTTTTGACACCTGAGAGACACCGTAGCAACTCCTTTGCATTTGGAAGCGGGGGGTGGGGGTGGGGGGAGGACCAGGGAGGATGATTCAACCACTCAACCACTAGATGTCGCTGAAAACAACAAATCCTGCACACTGTGCCTTTAAAACTTGGTAAGATGGACAGTTTTTGCAGTGCATCTTTGAGTCCAGTTTCAAACTAGTGGGCAAAAATGAAGCTTGAAATGAAGAATATTGCTAAAAAGTCCATTCTTTCGGCCTCCCTTTAGGCCTCCGTGAGCTGTAACGTGACACTGAGGAGCACAACTTGTTTTTTTTTTTCTGGGTTTCAGAGGTAGATCACCTTGTCACTGGGACAGGAAGAGGATTTGGTGTCAGCGCTATCGTCATCGCGGCGCATGTGGTTTGAGACTGTAGAATCCGATCAGTTGATGTACACCTCACTCTTCTGGTTCATGACATATCAGAGGAAAAGGAAGTTCAAATACCTCAACGCTCTCTCTCTCACTTTCTATGTGTGTGTGTGTGTGTGTGTGTGTGTGTTGTTGGGGAAGACAGACACCGGCCACAGAATAGATGATTTGCGGCAACGAGTTTAGAGGTACAGATAAGAACTCGTCACAGCTGCATTTAATAGATGTTCTCAGAAGTGTTTGTCGTCGGTTTGAAAAAAAAAAAACTTCCATGCAAATTGCATTTCATGTTGCCAGGAAAACCGTGCAAAGCAAAATACAAGAGAATTTGACTGAAGCAAACATTTCTTTGAAGCAATTTATATTGAACGTGCAGATGAAGCGGGTTTGCAGCAGGTTCTCTGTTGGCTCCAACAGATTCAGATTTAATATTTAATGCACACATTCTCACATCCAACATGTAAAACATTAGAGAGCGCGTCATGTGCAGCACACCAGCTGTGTGTGAGGTTTCAGCTGATGAATGGTCCTGCCTCTTCTGTGATCTAATTACCAGTACATAAGCATCAAAGCCCCCTTATCACTACTCCGTTCACAATTCTTGTCTGTTTTTATGTCCTGCAGCTTAAAAGATGTACAAATTATACATCAAAACATACAGCTTCATTCAGAACAGTGTATGCTGAATGATGTGGCTGAAATTTGCAAAACGCTGCGAGACATTTCCTTCTATAACAATGGAATTTGGACAAAACAAGTGAGAAAATCCAACCTTTATTAGAGCTTTGTAGTTTAGGCAGACTTTCCATCATTAATTTAAACTATAACTTTTAACCTTAAAGTATGATCTTTCTCTTAAATCCATCATGGTTACGTTTAAAGTCCTTTAAGACTTGACTAAATAACAATTAAAAAAATACACCTGCTTAGTTCAGTTGTAGTTTTTATTAATTTAATGTATTATATACAGTATTTTTCATCTCTACACAAGTTATTTTTTTAATCCTAAAGTGTGAAAATAATAAATAAATGTTAAAACTTGCCATATATTTTCAGTTTAATAATGTCTCCCACACTGGCCAGGAAATCCCCCATTCAACAAACTCAAAGTGGCCCACGGACCACCAGTTGATAATCACAATTGTAGTACAGTTTTCTGCAGGGAACACATTTTATTAGTGAGCCAAAGAGCAAAAATGGCTCTTTTAATTGTAAAGTTCTAAACTTTCCAAGCATTTGCTAAAAAGTATCTTAGTACTCACCTCGTTCTTATTGCATGTACAAATTATACATTAAAACAGATATACCCTAACAGATGAAACAAAACAATTAAATTCTCAATCAACACTGTTTTTCATTTATGATTTCTTAGGCACATTTGATCACAATCCAGCAAATCAGTAAAAAAAAAGAAAAACTGCACAGAAAGTCCAATTATTTGACCTTAAAATCAGAAGAGAATACAGAAAAAGTTAAATAATCAAATTCTCTGTTGCTCTTTCTGCACCAGAAAGTTTACTGAATATTTTCAATTTCTTGGCTTGAAAATCAAAAGCAAACCGCTCCAAATACAGTGGCAGAAATGAAAATGCCATAAAACAATTTTACATTTAAAGGGTTTGAGACCGGATTAAATGTTAACGAGGCCCAGATTTGGCTCGCAGGCCTTGAGTTTGATACGGTGCACCAGAAAGATAAAAACTCTGACCATCAGAGTCTTCTGTTGCTCGCAAATGTTTTTCGGACACAACTTATATTTTTTGAACAGCGACGCTTTATTTGAGGTTTACTTTCAAGTGTGAGAGTGATGTTGGGGGCGTGTCAGGCACTAGTATATGGTTACCATACATGTTTATCAAAATGTTGGCATGTTTTCAAGCTGATGTTGGAATTTTGGACAGTTTTACCAAAAAAGTTTCTATTGACACAGACAGAAAGGATGCTCTTCTCCTTATAGTTGGATTTGTTTCATTTTGCCTCCAGAGTTTCACAGATGGGCAAAAAGGCTGCTTCGTCTTTAATGTTGAAGATGAATAAAAACTGCAGCAGGTTGAGGAGATTATTGAAAGGAACAGAGAGCTGCATTTTCTGCCAAACCCCTTAGTGGAAAAACATCACAACAGTGATAATAATAACTAGGAAATAGATAAATACAGACACAACGTTACAAAAAAGAGAGAGAGAGAGTCTTTGTTCAGGTCTGGCTAAAGATTTGTCACATTTTTTCAGCTCCTTTGCGATCTGTGCCTGAGCTTTGATGAACGCAGCGAACAAAAGCAGACAGAAGATGAAGCAGACAGCATGTGAGACGTTTGTCTAGACTGTGAGCGAGATCCTTCCCGTCATTGTTAGTTGGCATTGAGAGGCTGCAAAACAGGAAATAATTGCAGAGTAAAAACACACAGCAGTGGACGTTAGAAAGCCAAAACACATGCAGTGAAACACCTTGAGGGAGTGGGTTTTTATACTCTAAGCAAAAAATAATAATAATAATTTTGTGTTAAATACATCATCAGTTGTTTAGGTTTAATCACCTTTTCACAAAAAGCTGCACACATTTGTGTCACCCACAACATTCTGATTAAATACTGAGCAGACGGTCCAGAAAAGAGCTTTTGTTTTGTCAAACCAGAAAAGTAAAGTGTTATGTAAAGCATTATTTCTTACACATCCTTGTTTTGCCTCACTAATACTCTCTGTTTGAAATTATGGGTTCATGTGGTGTTTTAACAGTCTCCTGCGCCATCATGTGGTCACAATTGGTTTCAGTCAGAATGATGTTTCCTTTCTAGAAAAAAGATTTTTGACATTTAATTTACTGTCTTTGTGTTTTTATTTGACCAAACACATTTTTTAAATAAACTTTTTAAAAGAGCAGCACAGAAGTAATT